AAATCTTTAATTTCTTCATCTTTGGCGTTAGTGTTTAGTACATAAATCTGAATAATAGTAGCATTAACTGGTCTTCCTTGTAAGTATATGGACACTTATCCAATCACTGACAGTCTTATACTCCATTGTACTCCTTGAAATATTCTTTTTGATGATGAATGTGAGACCATTCCTCTTCAATTTGTCAATCCCAGCATAGTAGAACCTCCATTCCAGTTCACTAATGAGGAGCTCTGGTAGCATAGTGCCTAAGGCACTTGACTGCTCACCAGAAGTCTGGCAGTTCAAACCCACCAGGCACTCCTTGGAAGGAAGGTTGGGCAATCCTACTTCCGTAGTGATACTGCCTCGGAAACCCAAGGAGGGGTCGCTATGAGTCGGGGCCGACTCGATGGCAAAAAACAAACAAACAAACAAACAAACAGCAATGCCTAGGATATCAGTCTTTATGTATTCCATTCCATTTGAACAACTTCCAATTTTCCTAGGTTCAAACTTTGTACGTTCCAATTATTAATGAATGTTTGCAGTTATTTCTTACCATTTTGAATCATGCCTCCTTAGCAGATGAAGGTCCAGGAATCCTTACTCCATCCATGTCATTAAGGTCAACTCTACTTTGAGGAGGCAACTTTTCCCCTGTTGTATTTTGAGTATCTTCCAACCTGAGGAGCTTACCTTCTATCACTATATCAGACAGTGTTTCATGGCTCTTCACAAAGTTTTCCAGAGTGTATCAGAGAGTGTTTCACTGCTATTCATTAGATTTTCAGTGGTCAATTTTTTCAGAAGTGGGTGGCCCTATCCTTCCTCCCAGCCTGTCTTAGTCTGGAAGCTATGCTGAAACCTGTCCACCATGGGTAACCCTGCTGGTGTTTGAGGTTCTGGTAGCATAGCTTCAAGCCTCACAGCAATGCACAAGCCACCACAGTATGACAACCTGACAGAGGGGTGATGATGAAAACTCATAGTGTTGCTCATTTATTAATGAATAATTTTATGCATATGGATTCATGATAAATTTTATGAGCCAACTGACATAATAAATTATAGTGAAATGCTGACTAAAAGTAAAAGTGCATATTGAATAAAAGACCATGCTCTAGGATAATCATCAAACATTCCCATGTACATTCATAGGAAAACTTGTTGTTAGGTGCTGTTGAGTCATCTCTGACTCATAGCGACCCTGTGCACAACAGAACAAAACTCTGCCCAGTCCTGTACCAGCCTTATAATGGTTGCTATACCTGAGCCCGTCATGGGTCATCCATCTCATTGACGCCCATCCCCTTATTTGATGACCTTCCACTTTACCAAGTATGATACCCTTCTTCAGGGAGTGGTCCCTTCTGACAACACGACCAAAGTAGGTGAGACAAAGTCTGACCATTCTCATTTCCAAGGAGCATTCTGGCTATACTTCTTCTAAGACAGATTTGTTAGTTCTTCTGGCAGTCCATGATACTTTCTGTATTCTTTGCCAGCATCACAACTCAAAAGCATCGACTCTTCTTTGGTCTTCCTTATTCATTGTCCAGCTTTCACATGCATATGAGATGATTGAAAACACCATGGCTTGAGTTGGGCATACCTTAATCTTCAAGGAGACATCTTTGCTCTTCAGCACTTTACAGATGTCTTTGGCAGTGGATTTGCCCAGTATAATATGTCATCTGGTTTCTTGACTGCTGCTTCCATTGGTGTTGACCATGGAACCTGATAATAAGAAATCCTGACAACTTCAATCAGGAAAACTGCCTAAATAAAATCCAAATGTTATATTTTTAAGGATCTGTTGGATATATTAGTTAGGTCTTCAGGCTGATAAGTGATTGGGATAATTCTTATGCACTTTCTGTCCATGCCATTCCCTCACCACATAATGTGTCTCATATATATATTTTTAAAATCCATAATCCCCAAGCATACCTTGGTCTATATAAAAAACAAACAAACAAACAAAAACCCAAACTCACTGCCATTGAGTCATTTCCAACTCGTAGCAACCCCTCCTTGGGTTTCCGAGATGATATCTCTATAGAAGTAGATTGCTCAATCTTCCTTCTGGAGAGTGGCTGGTGAGTTTTTTGAACCACCAGACTTCTGGTTAGCAGTAATATGCCTTAAGCACTATGCCACCAAAGTTCCCTTGGTCCATATAGTCCTTTAATTATGTTGTAACTTTTTGCCTTCATTTTTTTTTCTTCCAGTTTCCTACTATGTGAATCTTTAAAATTTACTTCTATTTTACAATCCTGTTTCCTGTCCTTTAGCAGTGAAATACTTCATAAGACTTGATGCAAAGAACTGAGAAAATATAAATAGACCAAACAACAACTTTCATGTTGAGTGTGAACTTTTCTACTAATTTTAGGGCTTTGGGGGAAGGTTAGTTCTCTCAAGCTCTAAAATGTTTATAGCTGAGACTACATGTGCCCAGTGGGAGGTGACCTAAAAACCAGCATCAAATGTTCTATAGTTGTGAAGATGAACAGGAGTTCCCAGCCCTGAAGCCGTGCAAAATTTTTGTGATGAAGGAAAGGGTGACTTTACTCTTGCATATTCCATGCATAATCTAGCATCTGTACACACCTGTAATTTATGCAGATTACTCAACATAAATGTGAATAACATGCTTTGAAGGAGGACTACTAACGTCTGGTCAGAAGTTCCATAGCAGTTTTCTTTTTGTGAATTGAGGACCTCTTAGGCGATATTAAATATCTAAATTTTAAAAATGGTAATTACTAAAAAGTTAAGTAATTTAAATGGAAACTTTTCAGGTGGATGTATAGTAAGCATTTTAATTCCATTGTTGTTGTTGTTGTTGTTTGCCGTCGAGTCGGCCCCGACTCATAGCGACCCCTCCTTGGGTTTCCGAGGCAGTATCACTACGGAAGTAGGATTGCCCAACCTTCCTTCCGAGGAGTGGCTGGTGGGTTTGAACCGCCAGCCTTCTGGTGAGCAGTCAAGTGCCTTAGCCACTATGCTACCTAAATTAGTACAATAAAATATATAACAGACATGCCTTCACAATTAAAAGTAGTCTATATTGGTAAGGTTTTCATTCTTTGAGAAGTGGATGACCCCTTCCTTCTTTCAAGTCTGTCTTAGTCTGGAAGCTCTGCTGAAACCTGTCCACCATGAGTGACCCTGCTGACATTTGAAATACTGGTGGTTTAGCCTTTGGCCTCAAAGCAAATTTGAGCACAAGACACTACCATCAGACAAACTGACAGACAAGTTGTGGTATTGATGAAGAATACTGAAAGTACCATGGATTGCCAGAAGAACTAGCAGATGTCCTGCAAGAAGTGTAGCCAGAATGCTTCTTGGAAATGAGAATGGCCAGACTTGGTCTTACGTACTTTGGTCATGTTGTCAGAAGGGACCACCCACTGGACATGGATGTCATGCGTGGTGAAGTGGTGGGTCAGTGCAAAAGGGGAAGACCCTCAATGAGATGGATTGACATAGTTGCTGCCATGATGGGCTCAGTTTAGCAAGGATTGTGAGGCTGGTGCAAGACCGGGCAGTGTTTTGTTCTGTTGTGCACAGGGTCACTATGAGTTGGAATTGACTTGAAGGCACATAGCAACAGCTATTGGTAAGGAGAAATTATGTTTATATATTGATAATCTTTTACGTATTTTTGATACACTTGTCAATGGTCTTGGTCAGTGTTCTCTAGAGAAATAGAAGCAGTTTTTTTAGATGTTTAGTAACTGCCCATGTGATTAGATATTATATGCCTTCTCTGATTGTATCTTAACTTTTCTCAATTGTCCAGCTGGCTTGAAGTATTATGTCTTTCTTTTTCTTGTTTTTCCCTGTCAGTACTGACTTTAATCTACGTAATGGGAGCAAGTTTTGCTTATCTCTGGGATACCTATATATAAAGAATAGGTCTTTGGCAAAGTGCCTCTAGAATGTGTTTTCCCACTTAGATCCAGTCCCCATCTTTTCCACATTAAAACTTTCCCTTTCTCACAACAGCCACATAAGGAACACAAAGATGGCATTTCTGAAGCCAGAGACTCTTATGGAACTATCTTAGCAGAAAGACCCTTTGACACTTTCCACCTTTGATGCATCCTCAAACCCTTTGTTTAATAGCTGCATATTCATGATTTGGAATAATGACCATTCAAGAACAGGCCACCAGTGCATGTGTTCTGAAATGACTGGGGGGTTTCTGTGTAATTTTTAGAATGTTAAAAATATATCCACTTTTGACTATAGAACAGCACCCTTTATGGAACTATTTTTGGGATAAAAAAGCTAGGTCTCCACATTTTACTCTTTGGTTTTGGAATTATGGATGAGGCCCTTGGACATGTCCTGAGGCCTTGCTTAATGTATGATGATAGGTGAAGAGTGAGGGACGGGATCCTTAGGGAAAAAAGTTGGGGCAGTTTTCGGTTCTCTTGAGCATAGGACTTATTCACTGAATAATGTATGTTTAATACAGTATGTGTTGAATCAGTTCCAGACTCATAAAGATTATAACAACATATCCTTGTCTATTGCATTTTATTGTCATCTCCACCAGAAGGAACAGAGGAAAGGATAAATGTAATAAGTCACCTTTGCTCCTTCCAGTCACAATGGGAGAAGTTAAGGTGGTAGAAAATAATGAAGCAATTTGTTAAAGTGAGGTTTTTGGCTTCTCTGTTGGATTTCATTTATGCATGCCACTCCAGATTTTCATCGAGAACTGAATTCAAGGTGATGTTACTTTACATGTTATATGAAAACACTGTACATTGACACACACACACACACATACACACACATACATATATATATGTACATACATATATATATAGATATACATACATATATATACACACATATACATACATATACACATACACAGGTGGTGGTGTGTCCTCAGGTTCTAATTTATGGTAGAAGATCAATACTATATATGAAACTGAATAACAATACAATTTGACTAAGAACTCTTGTTTAATATGTCTTCCACTATTTTGCAGGGAAAGGTGATGTATTTGGAGACATCTTCTGGAAGGAAACCACCCTTGCTCATGCTTGTGCCAATGTCCGGGCACTGACATACTGTGATCTTCACATCATCAAGCGGGAAGCCTTGCTCAAAGTCCTGGATTTTTATACAGCTTTTGCAAACTCATTCTCAAGGAATCTCACTCTTACTTGCAATCTAAGGAAACGGGTATGTTGTGTGAATCCACCTTCCCTTATTCATATTCAGAGGGTTAATATACAATGCAACATTAGCTGGAAAGTAGAAATGTATTTCACTTTGCAGCAGTATATTTTCATCAAGGTAAAGCTATATACTTTTCCTTTCTTTATAGTTTACATTTTTTAAAATTGTAATTTGAGTAAAAATTTACAGAGCAAATTCACTTTCCATACTGCAGTTCACATACACTTGTCTCATGACATTGACTACAATTTACCACAATGCAACAGCTCCCTTCCCACTTCTTCCTGATAGTTACCTCTTTCCTATGTCCATCTCTAGAGAGCTCTGGTAGCATAGTGGCTAAGGCACTTGACTGCTAACCAGAAGGCTGGCGGTTCAAACCCACCAGCCACTCCTCGGAAGGAAGGTTGGGCAATCCTACTTCCGTAGTGATACTGCCTCGGAAACCCAAGGAGGGGTCTCTATGAGTCAGGGCTGACTCGACGGCACATAACAACAATGTCCATCTCTCTATGCACTCCTGCCCTCTGAGCTGTCTCCCTATGCATAAACAGCCCTTCTTTCTCCCAATATTTTACATACATTTTAAAGAAAGAAAGAAAAAAAAATCCTGAGTATCTGGGTAAAAACTTTAGTCTTTATCATTTATGATGTAAAATGAATGCAGACTTGAGAAGAAACAAACTGTACTATGATATAGTCGGTTCTTGGGATGTGTATGTATGTATGTGTATATATATATATATATATATATATATAAACTCACTGCCATCAAGTTGATTTTGACTCATAGCGATCTCCCCTTGGGTTTCCGAGGCAGTATCTTTATGGAAGTAGATTGCCTAGTCTTCCTTCCGAGGTATGGCTGATGGGTTTGAACTGCCAGCCTTTGGGTTAGCAGTCAAGTGCCTTAGGTACTATGCCACCAGAGCTCCCTGGGATTTGTGATACTGCCATAAATTACTGCCAGTGTATCTTACGGAATTTGTTTAAAGCTGGTAAGGCTAATCAAGCTGGTTGCCTATTTCATACTCCAGACTCTCTTTAAACCCTCCTTTACATTTAATAATCAACTCACAAAGCTTACTTCCCATTAATTCTTTCAAAAAAGACTCTGTCTCAAAAATTAATTAGCCTCACTGACATATCCTACTAATAAGTATAGGAATCCTTTACTTTGCACTGCTGCTTCAAATTTAATTTTCATTGTCATTTTCTCTTTTATTGATGAGTGTGACACAAATTTAATTTGCATGAAGAAATCTCCTAGCTCATATTTATAGGTCATTGGTCATTAGCTAAGTCTCTTTTATTGCCAAGAATGAAATGCACATTTGGATAACTGCACTTAAGGAATTTCATCTAAAATGATTGCCTATGGTGAGATATTTTGAAATAGCAATTCTTTCCTTCCACTGTCCCTAAATGGAAACTTCACTGTAATTAACATGGAGGAAAAAAATGAAAACAAGAGACAAATTAACATGTATACTATTTAAAAAAACCCCCAAAAATGTAGAAATGAACATAGTCCAATCAATGTAATTCCCTACTCAGGGTTCCAAAAAGGAAAAGACTAGTAGTAGAAGTATTCACACTAGTCACACTACTATATTTGAATGGATCTTACAGTTTATAATTTTATGTGTATTAACAGATACTTATGGAGCATGCACAACTTGCAAGTTACAAAGCAAATATCTATAGAGAACACAAAGGCAGAGTCTCTATGCTCAAGGAGCTTGCATTTGTAAAGCATACTTATAAGTCACTGAAAGCTCAGGTAATGATGAATGCAGAAGAGGGTGCTAAGTGTGAACTAAATATGGACCTGACTGACCTTTCTTACTTTAGGTTCTAAACTCCACAGGGAGTTCAGAGTCTTTCTTAGTATGATGTGGAACTATGTCTCCTCATCCTTCATTCTATGCTCTACCTCTTCAACGACAAATTCCTCCTCTGCAGGGCAGACTGTTAGATATTTAAAACTCTTACATTCGTATTAAGTCTTATTGAATGTTGTCAATTTTTAAAATCTTTCCCCACACAGCAAAATCCACAATCTTCATTGTACATTCCTCAGGATGTATATTACTTGCCACTGTTCTCCTCAAAGCATGTTGTTTTAATAATATCACATTTTAGATTTATAATATGCTTCTGAAATATTAATTTAGATTTATAATATGCTTCTGAAATAAATGCCAGTTATTTTTCTTTTAAAACATCTGAGGAAACTTAGGTCCAAGTGGATTAATATCAAATAACTAACTGATACATGTGAAATGTAAGGTTTCAAAGAGGGATACTTAAAGCAAATTATGCCAGAATGGCACAAACAGTGAAGCACTTGACTACTAGTAGAAAGGTTGGCAGTTCAAACCCACCCAGAGGTCTTTTGGAAGACAAGCTGGGTGATCAGCTGCTGCAAGGTCACAGCCTTGCAAGCCCTTTGGAGCAGTTCTGCTCAGAATGTGTGGGGTTGCCATGAGTCCAAATCGATTTAAGGGCAGCTAATGACAACACCAGGAGCTCTGGTAGCATAGTGCCTAAAGCATTTGATTGCTAACCAGAAGGCTGGCGGTTCAAACCCACCAGCCACTCCTCGGAAGGAAGGTTGGGCATTCCTACTTCTGTAGTGATACTGCCTCGGAAACCCAAGGAGGGGTCGTTATGAGTTGGGGCCGACTCGATGGCAAATAACAACAACAACAACAATGACAACACCAACAACTAGTAGAAAATTTTGATATTTTGATTTTTCAAAACGAGTTCTCCACAAAGCTCTGTTGCCTCCTTTTCTCTGTCACAAATGTGCATATCACACACACAAGAGATTGGTGTACACACTAGTGTGTCTACCTCTAATAGGAGAAGCAAGAGACAGAAGAGTCATATTGTCTTTTTAACGACATTGTCTTTTTAATATCTCTTTGCACAGGCAAGTGCACAGAGTTATAGCAAATGGCTTCTTCCCTTTATAACTTTCTCCCCTTATAACTGTTCCCTGTGTCAGGTTTTTTTTTTTTTTTTAAATCAGTCCTTTTGTTGCTGATGGATGTCTCTTAATAATTTGGCAAAATGTAGGAACAGGGTGTTCTGCAGTTGGTATCACTTCATTCTTAGGGAAAAAAAATCTGTGCAACATGAAAGAAAGAAAATATCTCCAATGATCAGTAATAATAACTATCATTTTGAGAACCTATCTTATAGCCAGGCATGTTAACACATTTTTTGTTTAGTAATTACCATACTGAGTCCTCTCCACAAGTCACAGATGAGGCATTATGATCTCCATTTCACTGATGAAACAGTCGAGGTTCTGAGAGTGATACAGCTAATTACTGAAGAATTTATAGGTCAGAGTCTGCATTTGAACCCAACTCTGTCTTATGTTAAAAACCCATATTCTTAGATTATTTTATGTTATTTTAACTTGGCATAGAAGATGACTTTTTTTTCCCACAACAATATTACACAGACTTTCAGCAATTTATAGTGTCTTATTTTTCTCTTTAACTTCACTCCCCATCGATCTATTAATAAATAATAATAAATAATATTGTATTGTTATTTTATATTAAGTATTTTTGTAATGAATATTTGCTGTGAATTACATAATCAAAATTATGTAATTACCTTAGTATACCATTGATACCTCATAGCTATCATAACCATTAATTAAAGTACCTAAAAGTAAGGAGCCCTGGTGATTCGATGGTTAAGTGCTGGGCTACAAAAGGTCAGTACTTCAAACCCACCAGCAGCTCCATAGAAGGAAAGACCTGATGACCCGCTTCTGTAAAGATTACAGCCTAGGAAACTTCCTGTGGGGAAGTTCTACTATGACCTGTAGGGTAGCTCTGAGTCAGAATTGACTCCACAGCACACACATTCTAGAAAGTGGCAAGGCAAACCATGAACCCCACTTCTCTCCATTACACATGACAGTTTTGGCCACATAAGCACGTGTGAAGGCTCAGTAGAGAGATTTGTATAGATGCAGCCTTCATTGACTGAATGAGAAGGAGTGGGAAAGTTCTTAGCTTCTTGTCTCCATCTCTATTAAGGAAAAATAGGATGCTTGACATATAAATTAACCAATTCTAAAGGGGCTCTAGTGGCTCAGTGGTTAAGTGCTCATCTGGAAACTGTAAAGTTGGTGATTTGAACCCACCAATGGCTCCATGGGAAAAAGATACGGCAGTCTGCTTCCATAAAGATTACAGCTTTGAAAATTCTATGGGAAGTTCTACTCTGTCATATGGGGACACCAGGTGTTGGAATCTACTCAATGGTAGTAGGTTTGGTTTGTGGTGTATAACCCTTGATACAAATATTGATAATTCACCCTACAATTGGCACACTTTTTCTATAAAGGACCAGATAATATTTTAGGCTTTGTGAGCCATATGGTCTCTCTTGCAACTATTCAACTGTCATTGTGGTGTGAAAGCAGCCATAGACAATACATAAATAAATGAGCATCTTTGTGTTTCAGTAAAACTGTATTTACAAAACAGGTGCTTGCTCACAGATCTTAGTGTAGCAACCCAAAAAATAGATGGGGCAACATGCAAATGGAATTCTCTCTCCTTTTATTAGAGAGTAAGTTTCCACTTGTTACCCAGCCAGAGGGTTATCAAGAAATGGAAAACACCATATATTAAAAGTGAAAAATTTCAAGTGCCTTCAGGGGCCAGATAGATGACATACATGAATGAAGCAAGACTTAGAGTGACCTTCTGCAAATGCACATCATTTGTAAAGAGGGCAGCTGCTACTTAGTTTGGCTGCATTTTGCCTTGCTGGAATGCCAGCCCAGTTCTGCTTGGTCTTCATGTCATGCGCCCCTCCCCCCAATACCTGATGCCACCCAGAGGTACAGAAGTATGAATTTTTTAATGTGAAACTATATTATTTTGAGAAAAAATATGATTTATTTTTTTAAATATTGTTTTGATCAAGCAAAATAAGTCTGCTTGCTATTGTCTCATCAGTAT